ATACTCTGCGGTTGGGCACTGCGAGGATACTTGGTGGTTGGGCACTGTAGGGATTCTTGGTGGTTGGGCAGTGTAAGGATACTTTGCGGTTGGCCACTGCAGGGATACTCTGCGGTTGGGCACTGCACGGATACTTGAACCTCAGGCCGATTGCACTATTGTCCCCCTTTGCCAAGTCCTTAGCCAAAATGTTGAGACCTCATGTGCAGCGTGTGGTTGAGGCCTTGCCACTGTTTGCCTACATCAGCGGTCGCCAGGCAGGAGACGCCCTGGATCGTGTGTTTTCCCACTGCGCTCATGTCCGGAAAATTGCGAAAGGTGCGTACAATCCGATTGCCCGCAAAGCTGGGGAGATCAGGTCTGATTGCCTTGGGGGAATTCAGTTGAGCCTGGACCTTTCCAAAGCCTATGATAAAGTCCCTTGGTCCCGACTTCGGCAAGCGCTCCAGAGAGCACAGGTGGAAGAAGAGCACAATCTGATCTTCTATGTTCATGTGGAGGCTGAGCTTGTTTTCAAACATGCTGATCTGACTGCCAGGGTCAGGTTCGGCAGGGGAATACGGCAGGGTTGTGGGCTTTCTCCTTTACTCTGGGTCTTGTATACAGTCCCCATTGTTGAAGAAATCCTGCAACACACGCCCGTTGACTGCATCACCGCCTTCAGACGACTTTCATGGGCGATGGGTCTTCCGTAATCCTGCTGAACTGCAAGGATGTTTCCATCAGGTCAGGCAAATTGTTCACATTTTGTGCGCCAATGGCATGGACATTAGCCTTGAAAAGACTGTGGTCCTGATGAAACACACGGGAGGTAAGGCTGCTTGGGCCCTGAAAAAGGTTACACAGAAGGACAAACAAGGTCAGAAGTTCCTTGTGTTGCCAAATTTTGAGACCCAGCTGCGTATTCCCATCAAGCCCCATCATGTCTACCTTGGTGCGGTGATCAGCTATCAGAACTTTGAGAAGCTGACACTTCAATACCGCATGAAGCAGATGTGGACGACTTTCCACCGCCTATTTCACGTCTTACGGGCCAATGTGGTCCCTGTGAGCAAGAGACTCCAACTTTGAAGGTCCGCCTGCCTTGCAACTTTGAACCATGGCCTTACCAGTTGCGGACTGCCGGCAGATGGCCCCAGCAAGATCGCCAGTGTCACTGCGCGACAAGTGAGGCTGGTTGCCAAAAGCCCATCCTTTGCTACACATGAGGACAACGCTCAGCCTTGTAAGTGGCGCGGCCTTGCCTTCCAAGCCAGGACTCGGCGCGCAATCAGTTGCAGTGTGCTCTATTTGCAGCAACGGATGCTCCAATGGCGCCACCAGCTCAGAGCAGCCAGGACACTGCACCGACAAGCAGGGACCATACGCAGGATCCACGCCAGAAGGAAGCACCGCCAAGCAAGAAGAGGCGGGAACCGGAGCAGTGGCAGAGCAAAGGCCGAGGCTGGGACAAAAGCAACAAATGGGACTCCTGGAGTTCCTCAACCCAGCAAGGGGACAGGGATCAAATGTTCGCAATGGCCAGGTTGATTCGGAGAATGGCTACATGATATTCATCAAAGCCAACGGACCGGACAGCATCATCCCGGGTCTCTATCAGGCCGGACTGGAATGGAAGAAGAAGAAGAAAGAGGAGAATCCCAGCTCCCTCAAGCTTCCGCTGAGGGCAATCCTGTTCCAACTCATGATTCAGGAGCTCATCTATCGTCTCAAGAAGCTGGACGATCCGGAGATGCTCAAGAAGGCTGTGGACGCAAAGCTTTGCTGTGAACAACTAGTGAACATAACCTTGAGCTAGGTTATGAGCCCAAGGGCCTAACCACTGTGCTATTTCTTCTGTCGATATTGGTCATCTTTCGTTGGTGATTCCATGGAGCCAATGGCCCGGCGGAGGATGTCACGACAGGATCCAGACGCAGAAGATGAGGAGCTGGCAAGGGCAACGCAAGCTGCTGACAGTTCGTCGACCCCAGTGAAGTCGGGTCGAGAAAGGTTCCAAGAAAGCTAAAGAGGATCAAGCTAAAGAGGGAGGTGCAAAAGACTCTAAGTCCGACATCAAGGACATAAGGACTGGCCCGTCTGAGGCTGTTCCCGAAGGACCAGAAATATCGTGCTCTGAAGGGATTGACAAGCCTGCGGAATCAGATGCGCCAGCGGGCACTCCTGAGGAAATGCAGTCGCCAGGATGAAGAGTATCTTGAGCCATCGTACGATTGTCCTCAAACAGGACGTCTTCATGGAGCCACAAGTTCTGTGACGGAGAGCTTGCTTCAAAGGTCTGAGATCGACAAGGACAAACCGGCTTCTTCCAATCAAATGTCGTCGTCTGTACAGATGAGTGAAGTTGTTCCTCCTATTGAGCCTGTACATAGCAGTTTGAGCGGTAGCCATGTCGGTGATCCGTTAGAAGATCAAGCTCTTGAGATTGCGCAACTCCGGTCCTTGGTATATCATCTACAGGGTGCGTTGTTGCAAGCAGAGGAAGCTAGGTCTTTCACATCATCCTCTAATCATGGACCTGAGTTGCATCAATCAGTTCCAATGCAGTTGGAGACAGCCAAGACGGGGTTGAATCGTGTAGGACTTGAGCGCCGTAACGCAGGTGAGCTGGGTCCATGTCTTTCCTTCGGTAGATAGTCCTCAACTCCCTGTAGGACCTGTGTTTGAGGCGTGGATGACCCAGGCTACCCTAAACCCCCAGCATTGCCAGCGCCGAAGGCGTGTCAGCCGACACCTCCTAAATCCCCAATTCCCATATCTATGCCGTTGTCTGTGAGCCAAGCGGGAATTCCGGAAGTCTTCCCCATATCTTCAAGAACTACGCTAGACCCCTTTACCGAGACCGTATTGGTTCAAGGGCAACCGCATAGATGGGTTAGGTTAGGGGATAAGCTGGGTTTAGAACCTGCGCCAACTTCAAGACAGAGATCTCCTTCACCACCACCTCCTATAAGACAACTCCACCTCCAAGCCCGCCTCCTTATGTTTCGTCCCCAGATGGATGGACGCCATCTCTACCAGCGCCAGGGGAGCCTAATGCGTTGTTTCCGGGGCAAGACTGGAGCAGCCAAGCGTTAGGGGACCAAGATGGCAGTGGGAGTGGTGTTCATTCATACCAGTCCGCAGAATCGGGGCAAGTCAAGGGTCATAGAGAAGGGTATCCTCAGTTATGCCCAGCCACTTCACCTTCTTTCAGTGGTCTGGGGGAACCAAAAAATGTGGGCTGAGGGTTGTTTGGAGTTGACAAGCAATCTATTCTGTATCACCTAAATCAAGTAAATGGGCAAACTTACTCTTGATCAACTGGCCTCGGCGCTTGGCGGCGAGGGTGTAGGGCCTCCTGGCCATCTTCATCTTGCACAGCCTAGCACGTCCGGTTTAGGTGCTGAGCACATAGGTTTGCAAGTTTAGGAGCCTGTTGCCCTAGCATGTCAGGTTTAGGTGCCGTGCATGCCGAGGTGCAAGGTTCAGGTGCCGTGCATCCGGGTATTGTACTTGGGCACAGCCAGCAGCGCCAGGAGGACAAGCAAAGGACCCTCGTCATCTTCTTCTACGGCATCCACGGCTCCGAGCTCCCTGTCGTCGGCCTCTCGGCTCAAGCCTTTCCGCAAGAGCGGCGTTCACGTCGCCGGGGTCGAGGACGAGAACGACGACATGAATGACGAGGAGGACTTGGAGCAGGAGGCCAATGCAGAGGGCATGGACACCCTTTTTGAGGAGGAGGGCGAGCTTGATGAGGGCAACATCCAGGACGAGGATGGCGGCATGATCCCGGAGGCAGCTTCGGAGCAAGAGGTCTACGAAGCCTTTGCAGCAGGATGGAAGGCGAAGGCCAAGACAGCTGGAGTCCGAAAGGCCTCGTCTTCTTCTTCTGGAAGGTCGCTGGCGGACAAAGAAGCGCATCAGTACTTGCTCTTCATGCGGGCAGCGTGGTCACTGGAAGGGTGATAGCCAATGCCCCAATGTGCTGAGTGGCAAGGACCCCCCGCGCAAGAAGCCGGAGCCGAATCTCAGGGAAGTGAACTTCACCAACTTCACGTTCATGGTCGGTGCCGGTGACCCAGGCCAGCTTCCTCCACCTGCCCGTCCTTCGTGCAAGCAACCTGTTTCGGTGAACAGCAAGTTCTGTCAGGAATGCGGAGAGAAGCTGGTTTGAAAGCGTGGCTGGCTTGTTGTGGGGGCGGCCACAGATGAAGAGCAGCCACCTCGACCAATGCGGGACATCCGCATTCCAAAGACTCCCTCAGAACCTGAAGACCCCAAAGTGCCATGAAGCTGCTGCAAATGCAGATCATCAAATGTGTGCCCCCGAAAACGTGTTGTCAAGCCCGAGCCTCCCACCAAAGTCAAAAAGGAGTTGATCGAACCCAGCATAGCATGTTGCAAGCCCAAGCTGCTGCGCCTGGAACCCAGGCACTGCAGCTCCAGATGATCCGTCCCAGGACGATGGAACTTTCAAAGCTTTCGGCAGTCGACTCGCCAAAGGCCTCCTCCAGAATCAGCCACAGCACGGCCAAACCACCAGAAGCGGTGTAGTCCGAAAGAGGACGCTGATCAAGAACGTCACGAGCTTCTCCACGGGTGGACAAGTACACCAGCATCGCAAGCTCTGCGCCCGCAAACTCCTCAACTCCAATCGAGCTCTTGGGTCCTTCGTCGCAGCATGCTTCTCAAGTCGGAGGTCGCAGCACTGCTCGAGGAGTTATCTCCAGGGTCCTCGCCGTTGAGCTCCGCCAAGTGCCGGCGCCGAGACAAAGATGCCGAAGACGCCGGAGAGGGAGCCGCCGGAGAAGAAGTCGGTCTTGGTTCAACTGCTGGCCTCGCGGGTGAGGCAGGGGCAGTTCCAGGGCCCCCGGCCCCACTAGGATCCACCGCCGTCGGAGCTCCAGTCGAGGAACCCACCGGCACCCATCCAGAAGGTGTAGCAGACGTAGACGCCGCCATGGCCATCGGAGGGGGCACCCCTCAAAGACCACCTTGCCACATGCCCCACGGAGGAGGTACTCCAAGCTGAGGTCCTGGGTGCCCAACATATACATTAGGAAGTCCTGGTACAGCAGCTGGCTGGCCACCCAGGAGGAAGAACAGGAGCGAAGCCAGGCGGCGGAAGCCATTGACTTTGGCCTGCAGCAAAAGGTCCTTGCCCTCCAGGAGGAATCTCAGCGGAGTCGGTCCCCATGAAGCAGCATCCATCGTCGGAGCTTCAGTCACGCACTGACTAGCCACTCCAGAAGGCGCCGCCCAAGGGTCATGAGCAGGTTGGTCCCACGGATCTAGCAACTCATCGTCGCTACCATCTGGCACAGATGGTACAGGAGCTGCCGACGCAGCAACAGCCGCCATCGTAGGCCGAAAGGAAGCAGAGCAGCCTAGTGCAACTAGGCCCAGAACAAAACTTCGGCCCCCAGGCTCCGGTGCCAATATTCAAGGCTAAAACCCTTAAAGAACGCAAGCAAGCAAAGCTGGGGCAGGCCTGTGCAAAGCCTTTTGCTTCGAAGAGAGCTGAGCATCGATGCTGCGGTGCATCCAAGAAGTCCTGTGCAAGGGCTGTCAAGGGCTGTCTTCATGACAGGTGGCGGGTCACAGGCTTGGACCCTCACACAGCGATTCCAAGTACTATGGCTAGGCGACGCGAGGCTCTAGACACAGCACGGATGTATATGGAAGAAAGCTGAGGCTGTTAACCAGTTAAACCGGAAGCAACCAAGATGTTCCAGTTCAATAGTGATAACAAGGTAGAACAAGAATACACACACAACACAAAGAAGTGCGCACGCTCTTTTTACCTTGAGCCAAATGATCATGTCCAAGCTTCTACCTAACCTGTCGGCTGACCTTCTACGGACCTTCATGTACGCTATGCATGCAGGGGGTCTGAAACATGCCTGTGACTCATGTTTCTTTAACTTAAGCTTCTGTCTTTTCGCTCGGCTCCTGGCTTCACATTACTCCTCTACGTGTCTTGATACAAATGAACTAGATTGCTACCTGTACCACGTTCGCAGTAAACATGGTAAACTCAATACGGGCACCTAGTTTTAGAGAACAGCTTATTATAGAGAATGCCAACCGGTACCAGTGAATCAGAACTCACTTGCGGCGTTGGATTCCATGATTGGCATTCGCATTAGTGTTGATGACAGAGGTTCGATTAGGTTTCGATCGAAAATCTGATGAATGCTAGTGTCACAACCGATACGTGCCAAATGGCTGCTGCTCTGATGGCGTCAATGCTGAGATTGATCAATCGGTTTCCTTTAAAAAGATGGAACGGGTATGGGGAACGAAGGAATAGCAAAGAAGGTTGAGATTGTTCCCATTCATGAACCAGTTGCGATTATAGGACCCCAACACCCCTTTCCTCATCCTCTCATCACGTCTAACGTCTAAGAGCCTAAACTTATCGTCACTTTCTTTCTTTCTTTCGTTCAGGTTATGGAGGCAAGATTACTCTCACCTCCGGGCGTCAATGCCCAGCCCGAAGTCACTCTCGTCCTCTCTCTTTTTCCTTTCTTTCTTTCTTTCTTTCGTTCAGGCTACTCTCTTTCTCACCTCCGCATCTCTTTCTTCGCTCTTTCCCACGCGCCTGTGAAGGCGGGCGCGAGGCCTCGGAAGGCTTTGGCCATTTGCATCTCCAGCTCCGCCCGGCTCTCGCGAGTGGAGGCCGCCGGGAATGGGAAGCCCGAGACGTTGCGAAAGGCCCGGACCTGAACAAAAAAAGCCGCAAAAAAACAGAGTGCCAGGACCTAACACGACCTAACTTGACCACCTTTACACAGAAACTCCTCTAACTACTGCATTCCGACTGCAACGACGATTGAAGGACCTACACGACAAAAGGATTGAAGACCGCGAAATGCGCAGAGCCTCTACGGACTGGATGATCTGCCCCGTGGGGTCCAGGCGGTGCCGCAGTCGCCTGAGACAGCTCCGCTAGCTGGCTGGTAGATGTTGACTGCCACACTTTCCACAGTGCTGCGTTCACTGGGTCCAGCGCGGGGCCTCGCCACCAGACCCACCTGAAAAGAAGCAACTTTTTATTCCCTGAAACATCCTCTTTCATGCAGCTCAGCAACGGTTGGAAGGCCGCGAAGAGCAAACCACTTCTCCTGAACCAAAAAGATGCTTGGGGGGAAGAGGACTCTTGGAAAGACTACCGGTAGTACCTGCTGGCAACAGGCCATGCAAGCGGGCGATGACGACCTCTTCAGAAAGGCGTGCCCAAGCAAAGCTACCTTGGCCTCTTTGCTTGCTGGGAAACATCGAAGAGCTCTCTGAAAGTCTCAAAGCAGTCCTTACAAAAGGTGAATTCGGATCTGGTGTCTCACAGCTGCTGGCAGCCGGTGGCAGCCGGTGACGTCCTCATCTCCAGCAAACAGGCCTTGGGCAGCCGACCAAATGTTTAGGACTTCGAATTTCTGCGCAGTGAGGAAAAGTGTCGCTCCAAAGCAGCCCAGGCATTTCGTAAAGTGGAACCTGCATTCTGCCTTGACAGATGTTTTCTAAGCCTAGTTTCCAAACGTTGGACGAAGGTCGAATCCATTGACCCAAGAATGACTGTTGATTCTTTTGCCCCACTGCGTGGTCACTTCAAGGGCATAGGTGTTAGTTAAAACTTTTTTTGCTTAGGACTTCTGGCTTCAGGGTGGTTGAGGTTCAGAGTATCCAGGCTCTTGGAGTGTTCAGGGTGCTAAGGTGCCGGGTTTGGGGGATGTTGAGTTTTGCGGATTGGTAGCTTGCAGAAAGTCAGTGAAACGGCCAATGTATCAGACGCTGTAGCTGCCACACTCGAAGTCGCGGCCCACTCCGCTTCAGGCCAGGGCCGCGGCACGCCTCACCCTCCGGCACGGCGACGGCAGCCTGGGGCCAGCCGCAGGCCGTCAAGCTTAAGGAAAGGGAGCCGTGCGAAAAGCGGAAGCTTCTCTCGGCTCCTGGATGCATTGCTCCAGGCCGATCCCGAGCCGCGTGCGCCTCCAAAAAGGGAGCGAAAAAAAAAATGCAGAGAGAAGAAAAAGTGAAGCGAAGCGGTGCAAAGAGTGCAGAAGGCACTCCGCTTTGAAAGCGTCTACTTTGAAAGACCCACCGGAAAGTTCCCACGGAAAGCGGGGCCTGGCTCTCAACCGATCGTGTAAGCTCGGGTCCTTCAGCACCTCGAAAGAGGAAAGGACATCTCAGCAGTCCTCGCTCCTCGCTCTCCTCGCTCTCCTCGCTCCCCGCCTCTGCCACGAGATTCTTTGCAGTTGGCCTACAGGGAGCATGCAAATCGCTTCGAAGACTTCGGAACCTCTTATTTTAGGCCCTCGGCTGCTGCAGTTGGGCGCTCGTCGCGGTGGCCTCAGACAGAGACAGAGGACTTCGAGAAAGCATCGCTAGTGCTCAGGCGCCTCAGAGTCCATGCCAAAGGTCACGGCTCTCCAAACCTAAAGAGACCGAGAGGAAAAATTCCCAGCGGCGCTGCTTGGCGAGGCCGCGGCTTAGGAGCGCCGAAGTTCAGGCATGGAATGGAATACCAAGGAAGTGGCGTGCAAGAAACCACCCCAAAAAATACGAGAAAGACACCAATCGGTTCCTCTCATCTTTTAATTGAGGCGTAGGAGTTCTGATGAGAGCTGCTTGAGTACCTCGTGGTAGTCTGCGACATACTTAGTTGAGCCTCCGCTTTAGCTGAGCTTCCTGTGAAACTGCGAAAGCATACAAATCCCAAACATGCCAAAGCGGCTCCGGCTCAGGAGACTCACAGAAACTCACAGAGTTGCCATGCCATGCGATGCATGGCCCAGATATGCATAGGCATGTCAGCATGCTGGCATGCCAGAATTTTTTTTCCCCCTTCACGATTCGGGTTGCTCCCCTTTTTGGGGCTTCGTGAAACACAAAGCTGCTGCCCACTGCTTTTCACAGAGTTCAGGGTGCCTTGGGTGCCTTAGTGAGGCTCCGCTGTATTGACCTCACGTAGCAGGCGACTTGAGAGCATCATCTCACTGGTCATACATGGTGACATGGTCATGAGTCACTGAGATCCGTGCTGCCTCACGTCCGTCTGGCGCTGTTTCTGCCAAACGTCCCCGTCGTCCCAAACCAGCTGTGCCTGAAACAGCTTTACACAAACTTTCTCGTTTTCAAAATCCGCGCTCTACGTGCCTGGCCGTCGAACCAAGCCTGACTTAAACTTTGCTAGGAAGAACCCGTGTAGTGCACGTGCAATGCGTGTGCGAACCGAGCTGAGTGCTGTCAAACGCTCTCCCTCCACCTCGACGGAGATCTGCCCAGTTGCTTCTGAAAGGGCTAAATGTTTGCTAAAATACATGACGTCCGAAACTTTCTGTGGAAATGGCTAGAGAGCCACATTCCTCTTGAGTTGATTGCCCCCAACTTGCTTGAATTCTGCAGTGTCTGATGATCTATGCTTCCTCAACCAGCTGCGTCCCACAAGCGTTCCCACGGCCTAGAATCGGTGCAAGCATTTTGTGTGGCCATGTCTGCACCATGATCATTAAATCGGCAATTCTCTGACGAACACGGAAACTTGCTTCAATCTAGGCAAAGTTTGTGTGCGCAAGTTCAATCCAGGGGAACCCACCTGGGGGAACAGGAAGGATGACTTTCTTGCTGGCGTTCCTGCGCAATACCTACAAATATATGGTTGAAGAGAAGCCTGGCTATCCACTGAGCCCGGCCACCACAAATCTGGCGGGAACACAAAGGTCATTTGCCGGAACAATAACACTTGAAGCCTTTTAGCGTCCATCCGTGCCTTGTCAGAGCTGAGAATAGTGACATCGACAGGCGGCGATTTGAACCTTTTGGCCCAACTGATCTTGTGCGCAAAAATAGCGGCCATGAACCTGCGCAAAATTATAGACACTGATTGCAAACTGAACGCAAAAGCATATCATTGCCAAGTCACTTGGAATCCTCAGCCCGATTCCAATTTCCCTGACAAACTTCGTAATAATGCTCTGCAAGCGACTCCTGTGCACGGATATAGCGCGGGGGTGCACCTCCAGTTGGCTCAGCAAAGGGTTTTCGGCCTCAGCCATCTTTGCAGACAGCTGAAAAAAAACTCAGGCGTGCTTTCCACGCACTTCCCTGAGAACTTTGCAGCAGCAGAGACCACCGGGATCACTTCGCTGGTGGCAGGTGCTGTCACCACAGCCTCCTCTATGCTAAATGCGGGATATTCCCGAAAGTATTGCAAAAAATGCAGCACATGCTCTGCCTGGGGTCCGCTTTCTTCTGCCGTCACGCAGCAAAGGTGCCACATTCCATGGAGCTCGCGAACCCACTTTCCAACCCAAATGACATGTTGTGGCTTTGGATTTAATTGACAAAAATGTTGCCGCTCCAGGATGTGTTTGTTTGTGCGAACATTGCTGGCCAGCAGCCTTGTTCGCTGCGGCGCACGGTTTTCACTAGTTACAAAAACAAACATATGTTGCCCTATTGCAATGCATAATCAACCTGTGAGCATAAAAACATGTGTAGGTCTTTTGCAAGCTGGAAAATGGGATGCAGTTTCGAATGTCCATACATCCTGCTTCAAGCTCCGACAGTGAGGTATCCCCAAAAGATTTTCATATAAAAAGGAGGGAGGGGGAAATTGCACAGAGGGGGCTCTTGAGGTTTCAGCCGTCAGGCTCTGGGGTCAACACCGCACCATCTTCATTATTCATCACACATCATTTTCATCACCATCATCTTATTCATTCTACATCATTATAACCCCGTTAATTTCATCATAGCGGTTCCTGGGGTTTCCTCCTCAAATCTTCATTATTAAGTAGCTTTATCATCATTCAAAAATTTCCTAAAATCATGGATTTCTGGTGTGTTTGGTGTTTTATCAATATTTATAACAAAATCTATTATACATTATACGTCTTGTCGTGGGGCTTTTGTCATTGAAGTTCTGGAAACATTAACGTCTACATCATTGAGGAGCTCTTCCAAAACGGTGTTCCTTCCCCGCTCAATCTTTTTTGAGCCATTGCAGTTGATGTGCGGGCGCGCTTCATCATAACAGATTTCCGCATAATTGTTGATGGCACCCAGAGCAACTCGCATCTCAAAAGTTGCTGTCACCAATCAAATCGTCTCAAGATGCCGTCTGCTGCTGGCTACGCGTCAACACCGGCATCAAAAACCAAAAGCACCAAGTTTCTTTCATGCTGTCTCCCCGGTAGATCGGAAATCTCGGATTGAGCAGCCATTCTTCCGACTGGAAAGACTCGGTAACCTGCTGTTCTGAGAATGGTCCTTGGAGGTCTCCAAGTTCCACCTCCGACCTGGATGTTCGGCCCAGATCACTTTGCTCAGAGCCAGTGCGCTCCTTTATTTGATGTTTCAACAGTCTTCTTCTCAGCGGCGCTGACGCTAAGAGGTCTTCCGGACAGCCTCAAATCCTCATCCAAGGCTTTCACTTCCCCATGCGATCCAACAAGATTTATGCCCGAAGCTACGGAATCCACTATGTCTATGTCATCATAGTCTCATGCTCTTAGCAATGCTTTCCATAGACAAAGGTTTTTGTCCTTAATAATTTTGGCTACCGTTGGATCCAAACTCTTTTTCAAGACTGACTCTGCTTCTGCCAGATCCCTGGCCATTTGCCTGATTGTCACAACCGCATCTAAACGGGGGGGAAACGGGATTTCGCTACCTCTGGGCCCGAGGACAAGACTGACTTGATTGCTCTTTTCAAGTTCAATGGCAAGGCTGCTGCAGGGTCACACGGGTGGATTACTTTCTTAGTTTGTTGCATAAATTCCAAGGGATCCCATCTTATTCCTACTTTAAAACCGCCACTGTCGCCATACTGGGCTGCACATGGCTTGTTGTCGTTGACTGCTTCAGCTGCATTCTTTTCTTTGTTGATTTCCCCAGCGGAAGAAGAAAGGATGCTGAACTGGCCCGTGGAAGGGGGCGGCTATGGCAGGTGCACTATGGCCCGGAATTCCGGGATCAAAGGTGCATGTGCTTTCTTGCGCGGACCAACGTCAAACGGACGAGGTGTGGATGGCGGCTTGGGAAGGCTGGGCAAGGAAGCAAGCAGACATTTCGCGTAGCGCTGACAGAATTCAAGTGGATATTCTGCCTCACTAGCAGTGTCAAAGCGAAGCTTGCCCTCAGCAGGGGTGATGCACCAAGGAAGGTGGTCATGCTGCCCTGAGCATTCGATGGCGAAGAGGCATGGGCCAATGAAACTTCCCACATAGGTGGGTTGCAGGGCACGTTCACGCGGTCTTGAGCACGTTCCGCAAGGTAAACCCAAGTGCACTGCGGCCAGGAACCTGATTGCCGACAAATCACCTGCTGGGCAGGATCGGTGAGGTCCATGTGAAGGCAGGCGTGCAACTCCTTGAGCTGATTGCCTGGGTGGTCGATGGGGCATGTCTGAAAGTGATGAGCACGAAGCACATGAGAAAGCCGTGCGCAGCCTGCGCAGATCTCGACAAAGGTTGGCCGGGGGACTGCGCTGGCACTATGCAGAGCGGCAGAGCTGGGGCTGGCTGCGTTGCAAGTATCACTTGGCTCGATGGCTGGAGGGGTGAAGACACAGGCACCTGACGTGAGCTGCGGGTGGCTAGGGCAGGAGGTGGCTGACCAGGGTCTAGGCGTCTTAGAGGCAGGGGAAATCAAGGGAGGCCTCTTGAAAACTAAGAGGGTAAACCCTAGAATTAAAGGCAACCAGGACCGTGCGACGCCCTGACCACGGGGCGACCCAATGTTCTTGGGTGGCTGCTTGAAAGGCAACTGGCCCAGACGCCACATCGAGCGACAAGAGCTCATGAGGTGCGCGGACGACAATGTTTCCGCCAGAGAATTCAGACAGGGGCAGGACCAAATTGTAGGCATGCTCATCATTGCGCGCATCGAGGGTGGCGTTTGCAGATCATCAAAAATTGCGACTGAATTAAATGAGAAGTCATTGGCTAAGTTGCGGATCAGAGCCACAACGAGGGAAGTGAATTCAGGGTTGTCGTGGGTGGCACGACGGACATTAGCTGTGTTGCTGGCTGCAGTGGCGCCTGCAATCCAGGAAGAAGTACGCAAGAGATCAAAGACTTTCAGAACCTCCTCAGGTCGAGGATCGCCTGCAAGGCGCAGCTGACGGGCCTTGGCTTCGACTGATGCGAGTTGAGTTGCCAAGTGCCCCGTTTCGAGCTGAACCTAGTCATTCAGCACGATTCGGACACGAGTGTCCTGCGTGATCCTGGTGGCACCACCAACACACGTGCCATCCGGAGCAGCGCGCCCCAAAAGGCACGGCGACCTTACTTTCCTAGGTCGCTTTCCACACAGACATATTTGGGTTTGGCAGGATCGCCGAACTTGATTTTCGCGCCAGCAGGCGGCGTGATGCGGGTGGAATTCTGATCCTGCTTAGCCTTGCCCTTGCTGGAGGTCTTGGAGCTTTTTTGGAACTTTTTCCCAGGGCGGTGGCGCCTTTATTGCCCTCATGCAAGGATCTCTTATTTCCACGCGACGGGGCTGCATGACTCGGATCTGGACGAGGAACGCCCTTGGGCAAAGGGAGGCAATGAAACATGACCTCAGGGTCATTGGCAAGTACTGCAAAGATGCTGTCGCCAACCTTTGCTCCTGATGCGTCCAACTGCTTGACTACTCCACGGGTCTGCTCGGAGAACTTAAGCCGCAAAGCCCTGTCAGCCGCCAAAAGTTGGTCAAGCGAGAATGCAGAGAATCCTGGCAAAGTAGGGCAAGACATGCCATCAAAAAGGGACTGATTCCACTTCTCTTGCACGTGGAAGCTCAGTAGCTGAGCCGCGTCATAGGCAAGAGCACGTCGTTGGAGTGCCATACGCAATAGGTGCGCCGATGACACGTCACAGGTAAGTTCAGGAGATTCTTGGGTAATGCGCAGGGATCCATCTGATCGAAATTTCAAGGACGCTTGCGACTTATCCTGGATGCATTCTTGGTATC